AAATTGAGTGCATAAACAGGTGCAGATCCCTTAATTGATACACTTGCTCGTAAATTAAGGGACAAATTTGCTGATCGATAAAGTTTTTGATTTTTAAAATCATATCATATGATTTTGTGACTGTATCGAGGGCTTTTAGCTAGAGGTGGAATGAGAGATTTGGTAACTGTGATTATAAATAAAATGTGATCTTAGAGAGGGCAAAATTATAGAGAATTTTCGGTTATCAAAAATGAGTGACTTTATGGAGGTTGTGACTATATACATGGTGACTATATAGAGGGTCGACTGTACGCGTTTTCCCATTTGTGTTACTGTGCATCTATATTTATTTCGTAATCACTATATGTAGTACAAATGTTGTGAAGATTTTTAAATGTTCTTCTCGCAAACGCAGGGCTACGTGTCTATACAACTTGCAGGCAGTTCGTCATTTGGCCTTCCATTTGACCCGCTGTCCGTGGGTACGTCTCCAGCAAGTTGTGCGTTTGTGTTTATCTGGCTAAATAGTGGCTTCACTATACTCGATTGACGCGAGGCTACGTGTCTATGCAAACCGCAGGCAGTTCGTCACTTTTGCAAATAAAGTGATCCGCTGTCCGTGGGTACGTCTCCAGCGGATTTGCGCGTCTTTTGAGAGCCAGTCTTTCATAATTTCTTTGGATGTGGAAATAAATCGAACGGGTTGATATTGCAAGTAATTAAAAAAAATCTGTCAAGGCCAACTTTTGTGAGTATAGAAAAAACAATTAGTAAATTTTTTGCCATTTATAAAATTCCGTTTTATCTTTCATTAAAACCTCAATATTATTTGATTGAAAGTTTTCTTCCATTAGAATAGTTTTTTCGATATTATAGGTTGAAAATTTGGATGTTTGATTAACGAAACCCTTAATTTTTTGTATTCTTCGAGGAATAACAATTTCTGGTTTTTCACCATACCATACCTCAAGTAAGAACATTCCGTTATCTTGACATATGTATCTTTTTAGCCGATCACGATTTACAACATCCTCAAGTTTTTTGACATCTTTATACCAGCTAGTGCTATGGAGCCGATGCTGAGCCC